TAGGGATCTAAAGCACCTTATACTCGTACCCATAGGTGCAGGTAGCACTCACAAAAGCATAGCTTTAGGGTTATAGGGTTTAGGGTTCATGTTGGGTGTTCAAGGTCAACCCCAAACCACTGAAGCTGCCAGCCACTTCGAGGCCTTCGTTGTGGAGCTTCAGCAGATCGTCGGCCAAGGCACGATGAAGAGTATCCAGGGTTTGCTCTTTGGCATACATTCGCGAGGGAACCACCGTGAACAGTAATCTTGTTGTCATAGAATGCCTTGGTTTGAGGCTAGTAACTTATAAGTCTTACAGGAGGGTTCGCTTGGGGAAAGGCCATCGTAGCAAAGCTTCGAAGACATGTTGAGATAGTTTGGTCCCCTCCAGCCAACTAAAGGTTGAACTGATATCACCATCAACGGGGACTTGTTGCGGCCTCTTCCCTCGTCCCCATGTATCATGATGGGGATTCTGCAACAGTCAGAATAATCATCATCCAGCGAGCAATTGCCATGCTCAATGACATGAAGCCGCTCCCAAAGTTCATGGAACATGCTTTCCCACCGCTTAACCTCTTGTAGCTGATGCCCGCCGAGCAATACTTTGGGATGGTTCTCGAGCAAGAACGAAAACCAGGTGCTGGGCGTTATAACAGGGAACTCTATTTCAGCTTCCTGGCCACGCCCCCGAACTAGCCTCACTTTGGTTGGTACCAAGCTTGGCTCCAAAGGTAGTGTCCTCGCCCAGCGCTGAATAAGTAGAGTCAGGTTTCTCAAGGCGTTTCTTTTCCGTTTGTCAGATCGACCACAGGCAGATACTCTGTCCAGTACCCGGTCTGCAAAGCCTTGGTCGGAACCGAACACCCAACACAGTCTAGGTAATAGTATACACTAGAACTGTACCTAGAAAAATATTAATAAATTCAGCTAAGAGACCATGCTTTCGCATCAGATTTGAGGCAACTGTCGCTAAGCGTACCACACGTTTGGCACTTTCTGCCTTAGTCGATAAGCCTATCCCTTCCTATATAGTAAGGCCCGGGGTTTAGGGTTTAGGGCTTTATATCTTAAGCTGCAGCCCCAGTTTCACCCGCAGCGTAGGATACGAAAAGCTCCTCCACCAGATCGCAGTCTTCGTCATCACCGGCCAGGTGGCTGCCTGCATCGAGTTTGGCATGCTGGATAATTGGTTCGGGTTGCGGGGAGAGGCTTTGGCTGCATGGGTTCTCGGATGCATTTAGGAAACCACACTGAACCCGAAAAATCCGCATACAGTTCCCACCTACATCTTCCTGTTGCGCTTGGATCGCTGCACGATGGATCCGACCTGCGAGGGGTGAGACCACATTCACATGCATGTATTGTACTGCACACACCTGCACTGCTGCACCCCGCTGAGCAGCATTCCTGTTTCTGGCCCAGCACCCCTTTGCGTAGCCCAATACAGCTTCTGACACACTTGCATCCACGGTCGCTTGCTCGGCAACATAGAGCATGCCATCCAGAAAATGTGTCGATCTACTGAGTTGAGCAGCTAGCTAGGTATTATCGAGTACCCAACTTGGCATGCTCCGTTGCAACACAAGCTGGCTTGATCACTTGCAGCAGAGCTTTGCCCTGCATGCAGCAAAAGGCATCTAGTCCTTGGCTTTTTTGCTCTTCTTGTCCTTCTTGGTTTTCTTGTCCTTGGGCTCCTTGGGTGCCTTCTTTGGCTTGCCACCTCGCGAGCTCCCAGCTCCCTTGAGGGACCTTTGTTTACGATGGTCGGCCTAGTATGTTATAGGCCAGGGTTAAGCATCTATATAGGTTCGGGGTTTTAAGTTTAGGAATCAGGGTTTAGGGTTTAAGCCTATAGGTCTATAGTTTGGTTTGTCTCAAAGACCCTTAACTTCCCTGCGAGATCTGTGGTTTAGGGATTAATAGTTTGTACTTAAGCTAGGGTTTGAGATTTAAGCTTATAGGGTTTTGGTTTGGGTTTAAGGCTTGGGGTGTAAGTTTGGATCGGGTTTTAAGGTTAGGCCCGGGTTGGGGTAGAGGATCTAATGATCGGTATGAGGCAGCTCTGGGTTTACATGGCCGGGTTTATGCGGGATGTCAATATAGTTGTACCGTCAAGGTTGGGATGGTTGGGTTTTGCAGCCAAGAAACCTGGTGCGCAGTATGAAATTATTCATCACCACGTCATTTTTGGTGCAATCGACAAAGATTTGCAGCAGGGAGTCGTTGAACGGCCTGGGATGATCTACTAGTTAATCTGCTCTGCAGAAACCCTATACGATCTTGACAATTAGGTCTGGGGAGCTTGTCCACGGCGCACGTGATCGAGTCTGTCTGCTTGGTCGTAAGTTTCTTGTAATTCTCCTTCAGCTTCTTCAGGATATCCCGGATGCTGCTAGCCAGCCTTTGGAGGGTTGCACACAAGTCTGGGCCTACCTATGCAGGAACAACAGCATGCGCTATATCTTTGACGAGAAGCTCGGCCGCTCGGCTGTGCTTGATCTCGCTGAGCTTATCCTCCGCATTTGCACACTGACTAGCTGTTCAGTGCACCGGCTAGGTCTAGCATCAGGATTGTAACACACCGGGGTCCAGGGTGTCTTCGCAAAGGTCGATTTTTTGACCGAGCACAGTCAAGAATTGCGGTAGCAATCCCAAAGCACTCCCATTCTGCGTGAGCGACGGGAAGGTCAGCCTGGGAAGCAAGCCAGTAAGAGTTGGGCTCTGTAGAGGTTTCAGGAGACAGTGCACTGTATACTGCTGCATACCGTGGGATATAAGGCCTAGGTGCTTGAAGCTTGCAGTCGTTGAGTTGGAACTGCATGCGTCTGCTGCAGTGCTGTTGCCACCAGCCCCTGCAGCATCCGAAGATGAGGCGGGGCCATTCAAGATGTTCTCCGCTGGGCCGGAGGCATCCGGGAGATCGGTTTCCATGAGGAAGCCGGTGCCATCCTGTAGTGGAGCATATTCATGCACATATCATTCGTGCCAGTGAGAAAGCTATATGGAGACTACATTATATGTTAAGAGTGCAACATGATCATTGGCATCAACCTTTCAAGACCAGCAGCCGCGATCTCAAACTCACCCGACATCTGGATCTCTTGGCCAGTCTCGTCAAGCAGCTCGAACGTCTCGGAGAGGATTAGCTGAGCCTCCTCCTCCTGATGCACTGCATTTGTTCTCAGGCGGTTGTGAGAGGCCGCCCAAGCCCATGCAGCATCGCACATCTTCCTTTGTCGGGACACATTACAGGTCAGGCACATATTTACAGCCAGCCCAGCAAACAACTGTTTCCATACACTCTAATGAAATCAATGTGGCTTGGTCCAGTGACAATGGGCCATCAGGTATGCACGGGTGTACCACCCGCCCTTTGCCAGCTTGCCGAAAACCTTGCGGTGCACTTTCTTGACCGCAACCTCCATGCTTTTGAAGTCTCCGTGCTTCAGCAGAAGTGCACGAAGAGTCTCTCCTAGGACGCACACAACAGGCACTGAAGCAAAACATATGGTTTAGGGCTTAAGGTTTAGGGTTTAGGGTATTAATTTAAATCTATAGAAATCCAGAAACCCAAGACAGGAAGAGGGAGAGGGAGATAGTGTAGACAGAGCACCAAGTGCATGTCAGAGAAAGAGAGAGAGAGAGAGAGAGAGAGCAAGAACACACTCATGTTAACAAAACCCCTGCCAGCATATATAGACCATGCTGAAGAATAGATTCGTCCCTTGTCCGTCTTGTAAAGCTCTAGTGCTTCGCGAGAACACTTGAGAGCTCCGGAGGTCTTTGGGGTAAAGTACCGCCGAAGCCTGAGATAAACGAAGCACAAGCATGAAATCACACATGCATTGCACATTTCAAGTTAATAGAGTGCAAGCACGGAACTTCCAGTACGATGGGCTTTTGCTTCGTTTTGTGGAGACGGTTCTGTGGGAGGAGTGGCTCGAGGCATCATCTTCATCATCTGCATGGGGCTTTGCATGGTCGGCTGCATTCGGCATGGCATGGGATCCATTGCCTGGGGTCGAGGCCTTTTTCACAGGCGAAGGTGTTGCAACGGCATCAAAGTCAGGTTGGCGGTCCTGGGACCACCCCTTCTTCATGCCATCGGGCTTGGGAGGGGATGGCGTCATGCTGCCGCTTTCCAAGGAGTCACTGGACTCGGTGGGTGTGAGCTGGGTCGGCACCGGAACAACTGTGGCAGGGAGGGTCTGAACAGCACCCCCTGCCAGGGATGGCATTCCAGCTGTTGGCACCACAGGAGCACCTTCAGGAAGTGTGTTTGTGTGGGTGTGGGTGAGAGAGAGAGAGAGAGA